TGGCTGGATTTTGGTTGGACACGTTTAATGAAAAATTGAAACTAATGCAAATGTAGTTCGAAATGAAAATCACACAATTTCTATTTATCCTGCTCTTGAGGGTTTAGGGTTTAGGGTTCAGGATTTAGGGTTTAGGGTTTAGGGTTCAGGGTTCAGGGTTTAGGGTACCTCGGACCTGAGGAGGCTGGGAGTGCGTGCTTTAGGGTGTGCGATTTAGGTTTAAGGCTCTCGGTGTAGGGTTTAGCGTGTCAAGGTGTAGGGCTCAGGATTTGGGGTGGACGGTTTAGGGCTTAGGGTATATGGTTTAGGTCCGCGGATGGACACAAACCCAACACTATCGATCGGGAATGCACCCGCTCTCAGCTTCAAAAACATAAACTTTCAACCCCCGTAGAACCTCCAAAGCAAAAGGACCCAAACCCTGATCGAAACCTGAGTGAACCCTTCTGAACTCTGTCGAACCTTCGAGAACCACTTCAAGAACCCCTCTAAACCTCAAAAACACCCTCCTGCACCCCAAAACCTAAAAATCCAGCAATCGAACATCTTGACACGGAGTGAAAAAGATGCACAATGCTCCAAAATTCGAAACCCTCTGACCCCAAATCCCAAACCCCTGCTCCATAATAGGTCTAAAGCCCTCATAAAGCAAAGAATCCGTAGGGAGGCCACAAAGAGTCCTTGAAGAAGCCTTAAAACGGCCGTAGAGAAGGTGTGAGATGGTGTTAGGAACCTGTCAAGCAGCTTTGAAGTACCCTTAAGGAGCCGTTAAAGGAACCCTGAAAACCTTCAGGCGACGGGGTGCATTGCCGAGCTTGGCCTTGTAGTACTGCGCGGGCCAGGCTTCTGAACCTGGGGCTCTTATAAGGGCTAGGTTTTAGGGCATAGGGCTTAGGGTTTAGGGGTTTAGGGTTTAGGGGTTTAGGGTTTAGGGGTTTAGGGTTTAGGGTTCAGGATTTAGAGGTTTGTTCTTTAAGGGCTCCATCTAAGGTTTCATCCTATAAGAACTTCTGAAGGTTCGGGTGTGCGGGGTCTCGGGGTTCAGGGTTGCGTGGTTCAGGTTTTGTCGGTGCAGGGCTTACTGTCCCGGGTTTCCGAACATTCGAGGTACCTTATTTGGGGGTCCTTATAACTAGAATCCTACTGCTTAGGAGTTTCCGAGTGCATAAGCCCAAAAAATATAGACTTTCAGTTTTAAGAAGGTTTCATTATCCCAAAAAGTTTAGAATTCAAAAACTCGGCTACAAAGTTAGGGTCCCGTATTTTCGGAAACTCCCATAATGCTTCTATAGGAGTTACGTTGAGGGGCTTCGGGCCGAGGGGGCTTCGAGGTCTTTAAAGGAACCCTTATAGATCCCTAATAAGACCCTTATCTACTATTTGCTTAAGAAAACCCCCCAAAAAACAAAAATAACAATCCCTCTATTACACCCATAAGGAATAGATTTTTTATTTTTTGGTTCTTAAGCAAATAGTAGTTATATTGGAGTCCCTGGAAGGATTTGGGCCGAACTTGACTGAGGGTTGGATGTGGTGTCTTGAGTTTCGGATTCCGGGTTCACAGTCCAGGGCTAAATACCTATATGGGAGTTTCCGAAAATTAGGGGTACCTTGTTCTGGGGTCCTTATAATACGGATCCTACTATTCAGGATACTATATTGGTCCCCTACTTTCGGAAACTCCCATATGGTAGTAGAATGTAGGGTTTCTGTAACTAGGAATTACCATTATGGTTTGGACGAGTATCCCCCATATAAGAATTTTTGATTCTGTCAGGTGCTGCACAAGGTGTTGGTGTGTAACAGTGACTATGCAATTTTGGGCCGTTGACGCCGTGAATTGAAAAAGCCGTTGACGCAATGGCCATCAATGGTTTTTGCGGTTTATAGCCAGCACCCTACACCCTAAAACAACAAAAAAGACTGAACCTCTAGAACCCCCAAGTCTTACGGTTGATGATATGTATCCTGCATTACCTTAAGGACCCTAAACTATGGGACTTATGGCATATTCCTTATTATGGATAATGCAGGATTTATATCATCAACAGTACTGAGTCGGGCTCACCGGAACCCTAAACCCTAAACCCTAAACCCCTAAACCTTAAACCCTAAACCCTAAACCCCTAAACCCTTAACCCTTAACCCTAAACCCTAAACCCCTAAACCCTTAACCCTAAACCCTAAACCCCTAAACCCTTAACCCTAAACCCTAAACACTAAACCCTAAACCCCAAACCCAAACTCGAAACCCTAAACCTTCGGCCACGGGGCCATCGGGCCGCAGCAGCCAGAAGCCATTCAGCTGCGATGCGTTCTCCACGGGCGCCTCTTCCGGTGTTTAGGGTTTAGGGTTCTTGTTAAGGGATTTATTGTACGCATAATAAAGAAACCATAGAACTCGCCAGAGATCCCTACTATGGCAACTTAACCTGAATTCTTTGACAAGAACTTGAAAGAGGTTTGGGCTGCGGTCTGATCGGGATTTGTATGCTTGTTGCGTTTATGGCCTCTAGGGGTCTGTGAAGTTTAGAGTTTTTTTTTTGGGGGTGTGTAAGCTTTCAGCGATCAGCGGTCGGAGCCGAGGGCCCACGGTTCAGGGCTTTAGGGTTGAGGGGTTTAGGGTTTAGGGTTTAGGGTTTAGGGTTTGGGTTCAGGGTTCAGGGATTGAAAGCAATTGCGGAATGAACCGAAAAGTAGAGTAGGACCCCTAATATGAGTCAGAATGCACCTTGAAATCTAGTAAGGTCCCTTAGAAGCTGCCCCCACCCTGTAATAGTGACTATAAGGCCTATGTTAGGGCCCTATTATATTCCATTTATACCACTATTACAGGGTGGGGGCCCCTTCAAAAAGATCCCGAACATGAGTCAGTTATTAAGCCTCTTTCGCATTCCGGGCTCAGGGAGTTCCTTCGTCTTCGGCCCGGGGGTGCAGCGTCGTGGGTTTAGGGTTTAGGGCTTAGGGTGTAGGGTTTAAGGCTTAGGGAGGGTTTAGGGTTTAGGGAGGGTTTAAGGCTGAGGGAGGGTTTAGGGTTTAGGGAGGGTTTAAGGCTGAGGGAGGGTCTAGGGTTTTGGGTTCAGGGAGGGTTTAAGGCTTAGGGTTTAGGGTTTAGGGCGGGTTCAGGGCTGAGGGTTTAGGGTTTAAGGTTTGGAGGGTTAGGATTGTTAGGCATTTTTGCAGGTTTCCAGTGGTCAAAAGCTGCAACAGCAACAGCCATGGCTGCAGTGCGTGAAGTAGCAGAGGGGTGGTATATTATGCTATAGCTTTGTGAAGGAGCCCACAAGAGTAGTATTGGTAACCTGTGAGCAGCGCAAGGGGTCTGGTGCTTTGGGAATTTGGACTCGCAGAGTTTGGCGAGACAGATTCATCAAAAGGGATTCATATGGGTGGTTGTCAAAATTAGGGCCCCTTTTTGTGGTACCCTAAATATTAGGTGCCGTATTATATTAGGCACCCAAAAAGGGACCATAGTTTTGACAACCACTCACAAGGTTCTCGCTGGATTTCGAGAAAGTGGCGCCGGAATGATTTGCCGGGGTTTTGAGAAGTTCGACACTACGGTTGATGATAGAAATCCTGCATTACCCATAATAAGGCATATACCGTAATTCCCATAGTTTAGGGCCCTTAAGGTAATGCAGGATTTATATCATCAACCGTATAACTATATTATGAATGAACCACAGACTCCTAAACCTTCAACCCTGAACGAACCCCAAAACCCTAAACCCCTACACCCCAAACCCTAAACCCTTAAACCCTAAACCTAACCCCTTAAACCCCCTAAACCCTTAAACCCCCTAAGGGGGTTTAAGGGTTTAGGGCCCTAAACCCTAAACCCCTAAACCCCTAAACGAAACCCTCGGGCCCTTGTGGAAGCCACCGGGCCTCTGTCCGACGACACCGCCCAGCCGCGTCGCAGCCGGGAGCTGACTGGTGGCACTCCTTCCCAGACCCCCCGGGAGGATCTAGAAAGTATATCCCCTATTTTATGGCCCTCTATTACTAAGGGTACTTTAGAGGAACCTACATTTTGGATTCTGGTTCTTCAGGATTTACTTGGAGGATCATGGGACTTAGTACGTAAGGTTATAAGTATCTTAATTGGGGTTAAAAGTAGTTCTAAGTATAGTTACCCTACTTATAACCGTAGTTACTAAGTCCCATGATCCTTTAAGAAGTGGTCAGGGTTTTTTGGGTTTAGGGTTGGGGTTTCAGGTTTTAGGGTTTAGAGGTCGGGGTTTAGGTTTAGGGTTCAGGGGTTTCAGTGTCTAGAATTCAAGATTCAGGTTAGGGTTTAGGGTTCAGGGAGTAGGGTTCAGGTTTTGGGGTCTAGAGTCCAGGATTCAGGATTCAGGCTAGGGGTCTAGGGTTTAGGGATTTAGGTAAAAGCCAGAAAGTTGGAATATGATTATCCTAAACCCTTTATGGTAAATTATAAGGTATCCTACCCTGAAACCATATTGAAACTTTCTGGAGTTCCCTTTAGGGTTCAGGGTTTTGAGGGTTTGGGTTTAGGGGTTTTAGGGTTCAGGGTGTACGGACCCCGGGTCCCTCCAAGCTACCCTTTTTTGGGCTCCTTATAATGGGTCTCTTCTCTACGTCCTTAAAAGACCTAACTGCTTGTGTAGGGGGCCTCAGAAATCTATATAAAACGACCCTCTGAGAGCAGGCTATGGGAGTTTGTGACCCTTAACCCCGGGCAGCTTCCACACGGGACAAAGACCTTCGGCTCGGAACGGCTTCGGGTTTAAGCTTTTGGGCTCCAGCTGTGGGTCTTCCATAAACCCCAACGAAGACTATAGCTGCATACCTCCAAACCACAAACGCACATCGTTAACCTTGCCTTAATGCAAGCCTTCTGCGCCATCCACCATCCTGCGTTTCTTCCTTGTGGACTCTTCGGGGCACATCGTGCGCAGCGTGCGGTCACCGTGGGCTCCCTTCATTGGCAAGAAGGTGCCACACGGGGACGCAAAGCGGACCTGCTTCTTCTCGAGCTCGGTAATGCCTTCGAGTGTGTCAAGCAGTATCTCACGCACCTGCCGCAGCTTGGTTCCCCATGCTGTCTCGCAAGAAGCCCAGATCTCACCCGACATTTTGTGGATGCTCACAAGGGCACACACGCCGGGGCTTGTGGACTGGTCCACTCTGCCAGGGATGCAACAAAAGACCAAAAAAACCTAAAACCCCAACCCCTACTTCCCTATCCCCCATGTCGGAAACACGAAGCTGCAGCCAAGCATCGTTGCAGTAAGTCTCCCAGAACATCACGTACGCCACGCCCAAGGAGAGAGCAGCGTTGATGACATTGCCTCTAAATGGGAATGGGTCCAGGCTTTAGGGTTGAGGTTCAGTCTTCCGGGTTTCAGTGATTAAGGGTGCTTTGCTTGGGGGTGCCAGTGGATATGGATCCTACTATTCAGGCCAAATATCTGCATCCCCCCGCCCATTTTTGATACTCCCAGGTAGGTGTTGGGGAAGCTTCATCAGAAGGTATCCGATAAGAAGGAAGAAAGTGTTGAACATGAGTTTGCATGTTACACAGCTCTGACGCACCTAAGTCAGGTAACTTAACCCTAAACCCTAAACCCTAAACCCTAAACCCTAAACCCTAAACTCCTAAACCCTAAACCCTAAACTCCTAAACCCTAAACCCTAAACTCCTAAACCCTAAAACCCTAAACTCCTAAACCCTAAAACCTAAACCCTAAACTTATCCCGAAGCGCCCCCACCCTCCCTTGGACGCCTAGGACGTAACTGACGTCCTGCAGGGGTACCCGGCGTTGGGGTAGCCCGAACCTGGGCCAATCCGTCAGGGCTCCCTTTAAGAGCGAAGACATCCTTCTATGCAGGTGTCTCTATGTTTATTTATATATATATATATATATATATATGTTTATATAATATATACATATATATATATTTATATATATATATATACAATATATATATATATATATATATATATATATATATTGATAGTGGGGTCTATGACATTCCGAAACTGCCATGTCATGCCCATTTCGGGGCTCAGGCGTTCGAGGTTTCGTGCTTGGGGCTCGGGATCTGTCGGGTAAAGCCCGACAACTCCCTACTAGAAGGAGCTCAAGCCCCAAACTCATCCGAAGAGACTGCTAGGTCGGTGTAGCGCTTACCTTACGGAACCTATAAAAGGGGGTGGAGACGAAGACGGCTCGGCTTCGAGGTTGGCCTTCGATTAGGATGTCCTTAAGGGGGGGTGGTCCAAGGGGGGTAGGTAACCTAGTAATCCCCATTATTCCCCAATACTCCCCAAGCTTCCCTAAGGTTCCCCAAAGCTCCCTAGTACCCTCCCCCCTTGAACCACCCCCCCTTAAGGATCCTATAATTCGAAGGGAAGGATGAAGGGAGGCGCCTTGAAGCCTTCGAAAAGGGGTTTGGAAGGCTTTTGAAGCTTTGCCGAAACGAAGACTGATTGAACCCGAGAGGCATAACGCAGACATAACGCAGAGGGGCTGACGCCGACACCCTAAGACCTTAAGCTGTGCCGAGCCCTGCGGAAAAAAGACCCCCGAACCGTTACAGGAGCAGTTTCGAACAACCTCATCAGTCGAGGGGACTAAATGGCTGGGGGGCTGCAGTACAACAAAAAGGCGAAGGTTTCTCAAGCAAGGGATAGTATTACCGACCCGATAATTGACATAGTCCCGACACTAACAGGTAGGTTTCACGACAACCTGATACTCTAAGCAGGTAGCTTATCAAGGATGCCGGGTAACTTAGGAATAAATTGGCTAGCTTTCATAAGGAACCGAAGACCACAACAAAGGAAAATCCAAGCCTGAAAAGCCACTCCTTCAACATCAGATCCGAAAGCCTAGACTCTACAGTTTAGGGGGGGCTTAGGATTTTGGGTTTAGGGTTCAGGGTTACGGTTTAGGATTCAGGGTTTTGGGTCAAGGGTTGAGGGCAGAGAGGTCCTAAACCCTTATCTCGACCGAAGTCCAGCCACTCACCCACCATGATGGCCGCAAAACCCGGCGGTGCAGCGGCCGTCCGGTTATGGCTTTTCACGAGGTACCTGGGCAGGAAGGATTCCTGTCGGGTGTTCGTAGGCTTCGATGCGGGTCGGTACGGGAAGAACATGCTAGAGTGAAACTGAAGAATCCTGGAGAACAATCCTAAACCCTAAACCCTAAACCTATAGTGAAACCGAAGAATCCTGGGGAACAGTGTCATAAAATGTTCAGGTCGCCACATCCAGTTCAGGACCTACTCAAGAAAGCAAGCAACACCCGTGTGAGGCCATTGAAAAGCTCTGTAGAAGAGGGGACGCCTCCTGAAGCCCTACAGTGTTCGTGTATTGCATAAGGAAAGTCATACAGATGAACCCTAAGAAGGTAAGCCCTAAACCCTAAACCCTAAACCGCTAAGCTGTCTGGACTTCGAGTCAAGGGGTACCAGCCTCAGCGCTTCCTGGAAGTCGTGCAGGTCATGCTGGGTGTCGTAGCTGCCTCATTTTGAGACTCGAGCTTACCGGTTTCGGATTCTATTCAGGGTCCCACCTGGGACTCCTGCAAGACGTCTTCTAAAGGCTGCTATAAGGGCACCGGTACAACTAAGCTACAGTCTACTCCTGAGTTTCAGGACATACAGCATCCCAAAACTGAGCCCTTACTGTAAGCAAACCAAATCCTGACAGCGTACACCATAAATCCAAAACTCTAAAGCCATCTGGCTCAAGAACCTCCCATTTGGGCTCCGGCTTGGGTTTTAGCGTCACGGCCCATGTCTTAAGGCCTGCAGCTGCAGACCCTAACACTGCAAAGCCCTACCCCTAAACCCCTATTGACCTACACCCCACACCTTTGCGTCCCCCAAACCCAAACAACCCTTTGCTAAACCCTAAACCCTAACCCCCCAACCCATAAGCCACAAACCCTATCGAAGGTCGAAGGCTCAAGCCCACCCCTGACAAAAAGCTCAATCCCTTCTAGGAGCCCTTAAAGTAACCCTCAAAAGAACCCGAATAGTATCCCTTTTATAGCGACCTTGAAGGAACCTAGATTCAGGGCGCCCAGTACACACGAATTCAGGACTCATTCAGGTTCGAGGTTCAGGACCTAGGGCCTAGGGGCCTAGGGCTTTCGGCTGAGGGTTCAGGAATTGCGGTCAGATTTACACAACAAGTGTGTATGGGTGGGTAGATGTATATGTACATATATGTAGAGAGAGCGAGTGTGTGTGTGTATGCACATAAATATATACATGTGTATATATATATATATATATGCGCTTCCAAGATGCATGTCTCTTTATTTTGTTATCTTGAACAGGCGCCCGACATCTCCCGCACCCTGAGGCAAATCGACTGTACCCTGTGGCTCAATACAAGGACTGTGCCCTAAGCCTTCGTCTAAGAGTTTGGGGTTTCGGTTTTGAGGTTTGGCACTTGGGGTCCAGCAGAACCCAGAAGCCCTCCAAACGGCCAAGCGTTTCTGCAGCGCAGGGAGGTCATTTCGTTTGATTCGCGTGCAAGACAGCACGTTGGCTGTGGCCAACCGGCTTCGCCGGATCGCGATGCATCCTGGGCACAGGGAGTTCAGGGTTTATGCCCTGAAAGTCCTCGGTAAACCGCGGAAAGAACCCTGAACCTCAAACAGCAATTCAGAGCTTCAGGGGTTTCGGGTTGTTCGAGTTCATAGATGTCGCACTTGGTGTTTCACACTTGAGGCTGTCTCGAAGCCGACTGCTCTGAGATCAAAGGCCCTAGCTTGCCAAATCAACTCCAGGCTAGAGCCAGTGCCTCAAGCCCTGAACTCAATATCTAGTGGTTGGAGATTCGTGTTCCTTTGCGGATGGCCCGGCGGATGGCCCCTAATGCCAACAAAAACGAGATCCACCACAGCGAGCTTCTATGCGTGCCGGTGCTCCCCGCCCTCCGCCCCATCGCACTGCTTTAGACACCTACTGCCCGTTGGATGCGACACGGCTTCTCCTTAACATGAGGGTAGTTCTCGAAACCAGGGACTCTAATTTAGAGAACTGCCCATGAGGCTCCGAAAAGGAATTAAAGATGCCCTCCAAGACTTACACGGCGCCAGGGCGGGCAGGGTTGGGCAGGGCGGGAAGATTGCGGACGCAAAAAGCCCTTAAACTGCAATCCTCAAGCCCAACGCCTCCAAACCCCACACCGCTCAAGTCTCAAACCCTCAATAATAAGGTTTTAGGCTTTGATGTTGGCTTTAGGGATGAGGCTTATGGTTTCAGAAGAGGACGCTGTGGGAACCTGAAAACCGTCCTGAACCTATAGAGTTTTCTATAAGGTATTCTACAGGATTTATTTACGGCTCCCAAAGCGCGTCCTCCTCCCCAGAAGAGTTTCAGGCGTAAAAATGCGACCATGTACCCATGTTGTATATACTTAGGCCTTAAAGTACCTATATAGGGACCCCTTTAAGGCTTAAGTATCTACTGTATGGGTACATGGAGCCTTTGGGAGTTTAAGGCGTAAAAATGCGGCCATGGCTCCCTTCGGAGTCGGCTTTCTCTTTGGCACGGGCCTCACGCGAGGCCTGGCCGTGGAACGGTCTAGGATGGAGGGTTTAGGGTTCAGGGTTTAGGATTTAGGGTGTGTAACAGTATGCGCGCGGCGGGTGCGCCTTTTCACTCTAGGACTAGGGGCGCACCCACTTGTTCCGCCCCAACCACCCCAACGGTTCTCAATTAGGGTTTAGGGTCCACCCCCAAGGGGGGCTTTCTTCCTCTCTGCTTCCTTTCGCAGCTCGACACATAAACGACTATATTTTTCAACAAATACAGCTGAAATGGATTGGTGTCGGGTTGTGGGTCCTCGCGGCCTGTGCCGGCCGCTCGACGAAAAGCAAGTGTTACAACTTCCCTCTCGCACCCTAAACAACAGGGGCCCTCGCCTAAGGCAGGGGGGCAGACCAGGGCTCCTGGCAGGCCCAGTAAATCCCGGAAACTCTGCCTTTTTTGTGGTTTTGGAGCCCCCGTTCCCGCAAAAAATAGGGAGGCTTTACCCTCCCTCGCCGTTCTGACGAGACGCTCGGCCGGGGGCCTCGGTCGAAGCCTCGAGCTCTCGGCAGTTTAGGGTTTAGGGTTTAGGGTCTACAGTTGAGGCTGTAGGGTTTAAGGTTGAGGGTGTGTATACCGTGTGTGGATGCGGTTCCTTGGGAGTGGGGGCTCACCTCCTCATCGCGCGCTTGCAACGGCCCCAAGGCTGGACACGGGAAGGGACTCAAAAACAGTCCTGAATGGCAGGGTCTGCATTTGCCCCTTGAGGAGTATTCCTGAAATTTTGGATCGCTTGGAGTATGATGGTGCCTTCTTGAAGCTGAGCCGGGCTTTCGGAAAAGTTCAGTATGTACAGCTTGCTAAGACCTTGCGACTTGGACCCAAAGCAACCCACCATTTTAAGGACTCGTGAGCAAGGGAAGAGGAACTCGACAACGGTAGGGTATCCTGCGCAAAGGCATTCCTTAATTGGAGGGCTTTGGGGGTTTGGGGGTGTAGAAGGTTGCGTTTAGAGTGTCTCCCAGGGCTTCATTGAAGCATTTCTTTAAGGGGGGGGGGCTATGGAATTGTTTAGGGTTTGGGGCTAGGGCTTCTGGAATAGGGGGAGGTATTGCCAGCGTGTATTTATTCGTGTAGTTGCACGGGGTATTAAAACGGATACTTCAGGCGTCTATGTCACGCCTTTCATCCTGAAGACTAAACCTCCGAAACTCCGAAAACCTTAACACCCTGAAACCCCTATAACCTAAACCGTTTTCCCACTCATAAACCGAAAATCCCCGATGGCGCCTTCTGTCGGCGCAAAGCCTCCTCGAGCTTCTCGTTCTTGGGCGCGAGGACGAAGCTGCCTCGAAACAAACAGCTCTTCAGGCTATAGGGAACTCCAGAAAGTTGGAATATGGATTAATGGTAGGATCCCCTATCATTTACCTTAAAGGGGCTACGATAATGATATTCCAACTTTCTGGCTTCTACTGTATTGCAACTTGACATTTGCAGGATTTTCGGTGCTTTCTTGTGCTTTCATACGGTTTTACATGGCTTCGAACCAAGTGCACATAATCAGAACTGACTGTAACAAGAGGTGATATAGTGATCGTCATAATCATCATGATCGTCGTCATGATCATCACTTTGGCACTCGTCATGACAGAAAGAAAGGTGAAATTGCAGCATTGTCCAGTCCCTAATCTCCACATGAAGCTTCTTTATGACCTATATGGAGGGCCTTACGCCTTACGTTTGGCCACATGCTCGCCTTTATAGTAATGTAGGAACCTGATTAAGAAACCCTGGACGTATAACCCCGAAATGGTAGGATTCATATAGGGAACCCTAATAAAGGGGTTCCTACATTACCTGTTAAGCAGAACAGAACAAAACAAACAAACCTAGGGCACCCACAAACAAACTGAACAAACCTTGTGAAACCCTAATGACACCTTTTACAGGGCGGGGAGCCCAGGCGGTGCTTCATGAGCTCGCGTTGACGCTCCGCTTCTTGAATGAACTCCTCGGAGAGGCGGATGTTTTGACTAGGTTAACGGCAACAAAAACAGACCAAAGCGAGCAGAGGCAGTCAAGTCCAAGCCAGAAAGTCAGATCGGGAACCAGGCAAGATGAAACAGAAGAACCCTATGCCCGAGCAAGTGCGGCGTGGCGGGCCGGGCCGGGCCGGGGCAGGGCGGAGGCCCAAGCCCTAAGCCTTACAAGCTTATACCCTGATTCCTGAACCGGAAACTCTGAACCTTAAGCCCTGAACCCTCAAACCTTCCACCTGATCTCTGCCTCCGAGATGCATGGATGCGGGATTCCTGAGTTGGCTCGGACAGCTAAGGGTCTTGGGGGCAGTATGCCTGAAGGGTGCTACGGTTTAGAGGTTTTCGGGTTGGTGTCAGATTGTGGATTTAGGGTTAGGGGGCTCTTGACTCTTGACGGGGTTCTTCGATAAGATTGTTTTTCCAAGAGGTTAAGGGAGGGTTTCAGTGAAAGCTTTGCTGTGTCAGTTACGGGGTTCTTATGAGAGCTTGGTAAGCGCTTCTGAGTTTTTGAAAAGAGGGCTCGGATTTCTGGTCTGTCCTGGAGCCCCTGAATCGTCACAGTTGTTGCTCCTGCACACTTTACCCACATTGAAGAAAAATGTCAAGAACGGCCTGGGTTTGGGGTTTGGGCTACGAGTGCCTTTGGCTCGTATCAGCTAGACCTCCACCCTACACCCTAAACCTTGTCTAGGTGGTAGCATACTATATCAAATGCTGAGGCCACACAAAACATCTACGTTCTACTAGTTTGTGCGAGTGTTTCCTTGCTCGCACATGTTTTGATAATTTGAAAAGGGTTTGGGTTTATTGTTGTTGTCGTTAGTTATCCAGTGACTATACACAAGGGCGGTGCCCCTGCCAGGTGCCTCGGAACCCTGTCACGTGGTACACATGTTGCGTGCACGTCCGAGCATTTGCACAGGACCCAGATAAAA